CGCCCGTGTCACCCGAAAAGATTTCCGAATTAATTGGTCTCTTTATTCGCTTTAATAAGGATGAAGACGATCTCGCACGCACTTCCCGAGCTCGAGGGCCCTGAACCCTGTTTTGGGGCCGCGGGGCTCCTGCGCCTTCAAGCTTTCAGGGCCAGGGTATTGCTTTCCCAATTAAGTTCTGGTTTATTTATTCATTCTCCCTATCTTTCTTTCATCCATTTTTTTCTCTTTCACTTATTCTTTCTTTTTTTTTCTTTCTTTCTTCCTTCCTTCCTTTATGAGGCAGAGAGGCAGAGGATGAGGACGAGAACGAGATCAAGGGTAAGAGTGAGGGGAGGGAGAGCAGGAGGAAGAGGAAAGGGAAGAGAGAGAGAGAGAGAGAGAGAGAGAGAGAGAGAGAGAGAGAGAGAGAGAGAGAGAGAGAGAGAGAGAGAGAGAGAGAGAGAGAGAGAGAGAATGGAAAAGGTAGCAGAAGATAAAATAGAGGCATTGGAAAGGAGATAGCATAGAGACAAATTTTCAGACTCTTCACCACAGCGTAATATTCAATACTCTTGGAAAGGGACCTGGACCCTCCTGATTACACGCTCCCTACCCCATCACCCCCCCCCCCCCGCCTTCGCCCCTGCACACAAAATACAAAATAAAATGAACGAGAGATAAAGCAGAAAATGAAAGAGTAATAAAAAAGAACGTAAGATAAAGCAGACAAGGAAGGGGAGAGGATTGAATGAAAGATGAAAAGATGGATTACACATTCATTCAGTCCTTCTTTACTTTCTTACATTTATTCCTCGCTTCTTTTACTCCTCCTTTCCATTATTATACCCTCTTCCCTCCTCCTCTCATTTATATTTTCCCTTTTACTCGCCAAGGTCTAGAAGAAATTCGAGTATGCAAATTTTGTGTCTTCGAAGTAGAGTATTAGAAAAGACAGCCAAGCATAGTGACTCCGGCGTTATAAGATAAGCAGGCAAGGACGGAGAGGGAGAATAAAGTGCTGGAGATACGTAAATAACCGCTTAAAATGTGTGTGCGATCATATGGCCTGTGTAGATAAGGGAGAGAGAGAGATGCGGGTAGTAAGAATGGGGAGGGAGGGAGAGAGGAATTGGGAGAATGATCGAGAACAAAAACGAGAGACAGACAAAGAATGAATGACAGAGAGAACAAAAAAAGAGCAAAACAGAGAGAGACATAGAGAAAGAGAAAATACACAAAAACCTAAAAAGAAATACCGATGGAAGAAAGAAACAGTTAAAAGAACTAAAACGGTATCAGACTGAGGACTTGCCGTCGACCAG